GAATGTGTTTCAATGCTTAACTGCTATTTTAGATTTAAATTAGTTGCTGGGGACAGCAACGTTTAAATCTGGGAATGGAGTGTGAATGAATGACATGCAAATATCATGGAGATGTCACACAGTTTGATGAGCCACAAACAGGGAAACATCTAAATCCTTTCTTTTTAGTTTCTTGTATGGTGTAGTTAGGTAGTTAGGTAGTTAGGTAGTTGTTGTATGTATAAGAAATTGGATTTTGAGTTGATGTGAAATTCCATGAGGATAAGATGATCAAAGTTTTACATGATTGATCAAATTTTAGGATACAATCTTGAATCTTTGCATGTGTTCTAAAATGATATGATTGCATGACTCATTCTATGTGAAGAGTAGAGAGATCAGTATTGATGTATATAGAGGTAGTCAAGCATGCACTCTGAACTGTGAGAAATTGAGCCTATACAAAAATTTTTGTTCAGAGAGCACTTCACTGCTTGAGTAACTCTAGAACTTGCCCTGTTTCTTGCTTGAAATAGTTCATAATTTGTAAGGTAGAGTTGATTGAGGCATTCTCTTTTGAACCAAATGTTCCCATTGCATGAAAACCTTGAGCCTAAGTTTGTTGTTGATAAAATCAAGAGCCTGCATCTATCCCAGTTTTCAGATTACATGTTTCAGATAAAGGATTAATGGATGAAAATTCTGTATAGAGAAAGGTGTTTCTGCAATGTATAAAAACACAAAGTGTTGGAAATTTGGAGGAAAAGAAGAAGAAAAAGGGAAAAAGAAAGTAAAGGCACAAAGTGCTTGGTTGAGAAAAGAAAACAAGAAAAAGGGGGAATTAAAAACACAAAGTGTCTGGAAGAAAATGAGGAAGAAAGTTCAAGAAAAAGAAAAGTTGTAAAAGCAAAAGGTGGTGTAAAGAATGAATAAAAAGGAAGAAGAGAATGAGAAGGATTAAGAAGCACATAGATAAATTCAATTGTGATCCTCCTCTTATCTGAATCTGATTCATCTAATCTGAACCCTTCTGCAATATTAGATCCTACCTTTAGCCAAACCACATGCCAAGACATTTCCCTCCCCCTATACAGAATCCTATTCCTAGCCAAGCCATACCACCAAAGTCTCTTTTGATCTACTCTATGGATCAGTGTCACTGTGGAAAGTGAGAAGATGGGCAAGCTTATGGTAGTTTAAGTGCAGTAAAGATCGAGTGATAAGTACACCCTTAGACACTAGAGTGCAAGACAGTTTAATTCTCACAATCTTTGAGAAGTTCCTAGTGAGGGGGTGTTTTGTGTTGAAAGTATCTGTATTTCATCTTTATTGATATGTTGAAAGTCATATGATGAGGTTGGGCAAGTCATGGGAAATGATAGATTGCTTGGTTGTAAGATTGTATCATGGAATGTTGATCTGTCATAACTCAAATCCATCCTCATAAGTTTCATTTGTAAGGAATCTCAAGTCCTTCTCTGTTTTTTAAAGTTATTGCTGAGGACAACAATATTCAAATCTGGGAATTGTGATAAACCCTTAGTTCATCAAGTTTTTCAGCAGGAATTAGTATCAATTTGTGTGATTAAAAGATGGGAAAAGAGGTTAATGTCCTAGAATGTCCTCAACTACAAGTTCAAGAAGCTTTATTGAAAATTTGCATTATTCTTGTAGGAAAAGCAAGCCTAAAAGGAAGGTGGGAGAAGGAAGAAGATTCTGAAGAAGAGAAAAATTCTAAGTGTTGAGCGCTAAAATGTTTATCCAGAACGTTTTAGCACCCTGCTGCAAAAAGAAGCCAAAACTTGTTGGTGTTGAGCGCTAAAACGTCCACACAGAACGTTTTAGCGCGCTGCTGCAATTCGAGGACAAAAAGTTGCTGGTCTTGGGCGCTAAAACTTCCTGATCTAGCGTTTTAGCGCCTTGCTGTTGGAAAAAGACTCTGGTCTCCAACGCTTAAACGTCCAAACCAAGTGTTTTAGTGCTGGAGTCAGTTTGAAGCAGTTGGGCATCCGTCAAGCATGGACGCTAAAATGCTCACTCATGAACGTTTTAGCGCCCATGTTAGTTTTTCTGTTTGAATTTGTAAAACTATATAAGGCAAGGGCCTTCACTTTTTCAGAGATCTGGATTTCTCTCTCTCTCTCTCTCTCTCTTACATCAGATTCTCTGATCTGATTTCTCTCTAAAATTCTTAGAACTTAGTTCTTGTATTAGTTAGTTTCTTATGTAATTGTACTTGGAGATTGAAGATTCACTGCATGGCAATGGAGTTTGATCTTTCTTCTCTTGTGTATTCTTTAGTTATGTCTGAGTAGAGTCATTGTGGTCTGAATTCAATGGAACTTAATGATAATCTTATGTATGTTTGATTAATATGATGAAGTATTTTTCATGTGTTGATATGAGATTTTCTTATTTAATTTTTTTTACTAAGGGAGTAGTGTAGAACAGGAATGTTTACACTACTCCTATATCTGGCAATCTCATCATCAGGATTCTAGTACTCAAGGGATTGATGCTAGAGTTCTAATGTAATCTTAAGACCTTAGTGTTTAATGTATGTATTAAGAAAGGAATCACCAAGGGATTGGGGTTTCTGATTAATGTATCTATCAGGGTAGTAAGGGATTACATCTTGATAATAAGTAAAAGGTTGATTAACATCACATGAAAAAGAATTCATCATATGGTCAGTTTTTACATGAGTTTATTGTTGAGGGAAGTTGTTTTCTGACTACTTGTTTTAGTAAATTTTAATTCATATTTTAGCATTATATTCTATTACTTCAAATCAATTTTCTGGTGACAAAACACTGATGATTTTTACAAACTCTTGTTTGATTCAAATTAGTTTTCTATGGTTAATTGGTGTTTGAATACAAATCTTTATGGGAACGATCTTTACTCATCATTTTATTATTTGTACGACTAGTACACTTGCTAGATTCGCAACAAACTTCTTCATTCTGAAATTTTTGGGCCAATAAATCCATCTTCCAATAGAGGTAAGAAATATATAATTACCTTTATTGATGATTTTAGTAGAAAAATTTGGGTCTTTTTCTATAGGAAAAGTCTAAAGTTTTAGCAGCTTTCAAAAGCTACAAGGCATTTGTTGAAAAAGAGGTTGAGAGTCACATAAAAGTTCCTCGCACTGTTTGTGGAAGAGAATTCAACTTACAAGAGTTGCAAAATTTTATGAGATAGAAGGAATCAAAAGGAAACTTACAACAGGTTACTCCCCACAACAAATTGGTGTTAGCGAGAGTAAGAATCACATAATCTTAAACATGGTGCGTAGTTTACTGACAACAAGTGGTGTTCCAAAAACATTTTAGCCTGAGGTAGTCAATTGGAGCACTCACATTTTGAACATAAGTCCCACATTAGCTGTTCAACATATGATCTCTGAGGAAGCTTGGAGCGGCCAAAGACCCAAAGTTGATCATTTTAGAATTTTTGGGTGTATAGACTTTGCTCATGTTCTAGAACAGAAGATGAAGAAATTAGATGACAAGGGTATCAAATGTGTTTTTCTTGGTGTTAGTGATTATTCAAAGGTCTACAAACTTTATGATCCTATAACCAAGAAGTTACTTGTGATGTGGTTTTTGATGAAGGACGATTTTGGCCATGGAGTGCACAAATCGTTGGTGAGCAAATTCCAATAATTCTTGACGAGGATAATGAGCAGCCAATACAATAACCCATTATTCTTGAAGACACTACAAACAATGATCAAGATTCAACAACAGTTGTAACGAATGAAGAACGGCCTCATCGAGCTCGAAGAAGGCCAGCTTAGATTAGTGACTATGAAGTTCAAGTAGAAGACCAATCTAAAAACCCATTAACTTATTTTGCTTTGTCTGCAGATAGTGATCCAACTATTTTTGATGAAATTGTGAAACATCAAGAATGGAGAGATGCAATGGATGTTGAAATTGTAGCAATTGAGAGAAACAACACTTGAGAGTTGACAAATCTTCCTAAGAGACTTCTATATAAGTGCTAAAAACCCATAGACCTAAAGTAGGCCTTAAGGTTTTCGGTTGAGATGTGGTCTTGGCCCACTTATTATGGTTTGTTATTTGGCCTATTAGTGAAAGAATCTTTACAAAGGGTTTTGGCTCTTTCGTACCATTCTTAACAGTGGAATCAGAGCCAAAGGTTTGGCTGGGGCCGAGTATATAGAGATGGTAATGCACTTGAAGAGGTCTCTGCAGAAGGCTAGTCTGACCCTAATATTTGAAGAGAAAAGACTTCTGTAGAAGTCGCCCTTAGGGAGAGCATGATGATGGGCCTTAAACTTGAAGGAAGGATGTTGAAAATATTCAAATATCCGAGTGTGAGTAGTAATGAAGTCCCACATTGGTTAAACATGAGCCAAGTGATGACCATATAAGTACTAAAAATCCATAGACCTACAACCTTAAAATTTTGGCTTAAGATGTGGTGTCGGCTACTTATTGTAGTTTTTTATTTAACCCATTAGTGAAAGAATCCTTTGTAAAGGATCTAGGACTCCTGCATACCATTCTTAATAAGATAATGTTGGAGTTGGAAATTGATACTCAGGTTAAAAAAAGAATTGACATTATCATATGAGAAAGTTACAATCATACAAAAAGTAATCAATGATGATAATTTTGTAACTAATTATTTTAATTTATTTTTTCTCTCTATTTTTATCACAATTAATCCATGTTTATAATTTTTCATATGTTTTTTTTAATACGAAAAGATTCACTCCTCGTTGAAGTTATATACCCAGAGCGAAATATATGCGAGAGATTAAGGGTGGAGCCCACAGGAACAGTTATGAGCTGGTATAGTTGGTGCCCGAAGAAGGCCACGCTACAGTACACTACACTCGAAAACAAAAAATATCCCGCCCTTCCATTATTGCCATCATAACCTCCCAATTCCATAACCATAAATCTGTAACGTGAGTCTCTCATCTCATCTCTCTCTCTCTCTCTCTCTCCCTAAATCTGCGAAAAAAGTAACTAACCGCAAGCATGAGAGAGATTCTGCACGTTCAAGGTGGCCAATGTGGGAATCAAATCGGTTCCAAGTTCTGGGAGGTGATATGCGACGAGCACGGCATCGATGCAACCGGAAAGTACTGTGGCGATTCCGATTCCGATCTTCAACTTGAGAGGATCAATGTCTATTACAACGAAGCTTCCGGCGGAAGGTACGTTCCTAGGGCTGTTCTCATGGATCTGGAACCTGGTACCATGGATAGCATCAGATCCGGCACCTACGGCAAGATCTTTCGCCCGGACAACTTCGTCTTTGGTCAGTCCGGTGCCGGTAATAATTGGGCGAAAGGTCATTATACCGAAGGTGCTGAGTTGATCGATTCTGTTCTCGATGTTGTTCGTAAAGAGGCTGAAAATTGTGACTGCTTGCAAGGTACTGTTTATTATACTCTTTGCAAAATGGTGATTTGTGAGTAATTGCATCAGAATTAGTTCGTAAGTTATGTGGAAGAATGATTTCGTTTTGGCACGCACAGACGTCACTGAATGTTATCCATTTTTTTAGTTTTAGAATTTCATGCTTAAAAGTTAAAATCAACCTTTAGTACTGCGGGACATGAATATAGTTCTTTCCTTTCTCAGTTACTAGTGTGTTGACTCGTAATAAAGTGTTTTTGACCTCGGTATTTAATCGAACTTTTAGAACTTCCTTTGTGCATTTATGTTAATGATTATTATTCTTATTTTTTTTTTCTTTCTATATCTATAGATCTATCAGGAATAAAAGAAAATAAAAGAATACTAGTAGATTTGGATTCTGGAACTAATTACTAATATCAGGATTTTCTTTCTTGTCAGCTTTCTACTGCAATAATTGATGCTTCATTTTTATTTTTTTAGTATTTTAATTTTTTCTTCTTGTCATTTAAGACACTGGATTGCTTGATTTTGGAGAAATTGACTAAGACTGAGTTGTTAGCAGGGTCCCATGTTGTTTAGTGGGAAGACAGGCAGGGACCACGTAGCTTTATATCTATCTTTTATGATGCGTCATTAAACAAAAAATTATCTATATCTTTTTATGTTTCCTATTATGATACGTGATTGTGATGGCCCAAACCGGGTCAGATGAGTAGCCACCGACCATGTGCTTTTACTTTTATCAATTTTACTGAGAGATGAATCATTGCCAAATTTGTTAATATACTTTGGAATTTAATTCAGGAAAAAATAAAAATTCAAATTGGCAGTAGCAAAATAGACTATGTACATTAAAATCTTTATTTCAATGTAGATCTTTAGTTACAAATAGCAATTCACTATGATATATGAACTTACAAACTGCATCCGTAAAGCAATGGAGATTCAATGAACAGAAGATTCCATTTCTTTTTGTTCCATTTTGAGTACAGCAACTTCACAACTCCCTATCACTTGGGTGTACGAGCTAGACGCATCTTATAAAATTTGTCAGAAACAGCTAGGATGGGTTCTGTTACATAGATTATAGAACACAATTGTGATCATGATTCATCTCTAATAGGGTACAGGACGGAATTGGTTTAATTATGGTTTTGTGATATGCCTGCTATGAGAATCGTGACTTTTATAGTTTAATTACCTCTACAGAATCCACTAGTATTTGTAATGTGAACAGCCATATTTGTCATCTTTTATTCTGAACTTTATATTTAATCCTTTTTTCAGGTTTTCAAGTTTGTCACTCGCTTGGAGGCGGCACGGGTTCTGGCATGGGAACACTCTTGATATCGAAGATCAGGGAGGAATACCCGGACAGAATGATGCTCACTTTCTCTGTTTTCCCTTCTCCTAAGGTATCAGACACGGTTGTGGAGCCATATAACGCTACTTTATCCGTGCACCAACTAGTAGAGAATGCAGATGAGTGCATGGTTCTTGACAATGAAGCACTTTATGACATTTGCTTCAGGACTTTAAAACTTACTACTCCTAGTTGTGAGTACCCTACTACCACTCCCCAAGTTTGATTAGGCACGTAACCATGCAGTAATATTAACTTGTTTATTTGTCCAATGGTTTAATTGTAGTTGGTGATCTGAACCATCTGATTTCTGCAACTATGAGTGGAGTTACCTGTTGTTTGAGGTTCCCTGGGCAACTGAACTCTGACCTCAGAAAGCTTGCTGTGAATCTGATCCCATTCCCACGTCTTCACTTCTTTATGGTGGGGTTTGCGCCTCTCACCTCTCGTGGGTCTCAGCAGTACGTGGCTCTCACTGTCCCGGAACTGACACAGCAAATGTGGGACGCCAAAAATATGATGTGTGCCGCTGATCCTCGGCATGGACGATACTTGACGGCATCTGCAATGTTCAGGGGAAAGATGAGCACCAAAGAGGTGGATGAACAAATGATCAATGTGCAGAATAAGAATTCTTCATACTTTGTTGAGTGGATTCCCAACAACGTGAAGTCAAGTGTGTGCGATATTCCACCCAAGAATTTGAAGATGTCATGTACTTTTATTGGTAACTCCACATCAATTCAGGAGATGTTTAGGAGGGTGAGTGAGCAATTCACTGCAATGTTCCGGCGCAAAGCTTTCTTGCACTGGTACACAGGGGAAGGAATGGACGAGATGGAGTTCACCGAGGCAGAGAGCAACATGAACGATTTGGTAGCAGAGTACCAGCAGTACCAGGACGCAACCGCCGAGGAGGAGGATGAGTACGATGAAGAGGGTGAGAATACTTACGAGGAGCAGTAGCTGAAGCTGATCATCCACGTCCTTCTTGTACCAAATATGCTGCTACTCATGTAGCTATGGCTATCTGTACTAATTTGTTTCTTCTTATTTCCCTTTAAAGCATATTACTTTTGAATTGTTTGAGACAAAATTGTTGATTGTTCTATACTTATTGTAAGCGTATGAATAAGAGGATGGCTTATCTGATTGTTGGGGATGCACGAGAGGGGAGGGCTTCGGAGCTTATCAAGGGATTTTTTTTTCTTAAGGGTTTTCTTTTACGCAAGCGTTTACAAAGATACGTAATTAAAGCATTATACAATTTACCATCACTTAGACAGAAAAAGGCAAAAAAAATAAAAAAAATAGAATAATTATTTCCTTTTATATATCAGAATTTTTACAATACTTTAGCGGTTCATTCCTATCTCCAACCTAGAGGTGGAAAAATGGATCCAGCCTGTGGAGTTGGCACGCTTAACCCGCCACAAATGACGAGTTGGGTTGATATTTAACCCATCAATCTGTTTCAACCCACTCTCCATAAGGTTGGGTCAAAATAGATTCAATCCGCTGGGTCAATTTTTTTTCCTTTTTTCTGTCAAGTAATATTTTGTCTTGTTAAGTTTTTGTGATATTCAAAAAATTTCTTAGTACTCTTATAGAAAAAGTAAAGAAGAAAATATTTTATTTATGACAAAGATTATCCATTATCCACGTAAGGAGACCAAAATGAGTGCTTAGAGGCTAGAGATGCCCGAATGAATATTAACATATATTTAGGTTTGAGATTAAAAAAATTAAGGATTGCAAAATAAAATTAAGAGTAAATACCCTTTTGAGTCCCTAACAAAAAACACGATTCCCACTTTAGTCCCTTACAAAAAAAAATTAGTCAGTTGGTCCCTAACAAATTCAAAGTGGACCCATTTTAGTCTTTTTGAGGGACTAATATGGTCTTTTTTAAAATTGTGAAGGACCACGATTTCAACTAAATGGATCTACTTTGAATTTGTTAGGGACCAACTGACTAAATTTTTTTTATAAGGGACTAAAGTGGGGACCGTGTTTTTTGTTAGAGACCAAAAATGGTATTTACTCTAAAATTAAATAACATTATAAAATTCATAAAATTTTCAAACAAGTTGACCCGCTTGTTATGGACCCATATAAAGGGTCCATTGATTGACAGGCTCAACAAAAGGCAATCTAAGATACAAATCAAGCATAAGTACGGAAGGATATCCATGAAGGATATTAATCCTAATACGACAGCATGATAGATGGGTCTGGGCCACCATCAGAGGCACTAAAGGTCCAAAATATACTACCCACAAGTAAACTCTCTAAATAAGAGGTAAAACCTACAGGTACGGAACGCTCTCTCTCTCTCTTACTGTTATGCTGTCATTGTGCACACACGCCCCTCCTTTGGCAAAGCCGTTACTGTTTTATTGTGCACAATGATCTGCTTGACTCAAGGGTATCTCACCCATAGATACCTTGGAGAGGGCACTAGATCCAAGATCAACATACTAGTCCATTGGGCTAGACATCTCTGTCTCCAAGACAGAACACTGGCATCGTCTGTGGAAAATTTAGCAAATTTGATATTGCCACGAATCTGACTAGAGATGGTAGTCTGCACGAGGAATAATAGCCAACAGCCACAACCTCCCAACCACCCACTAGATCCGGTTCTGGAAGAGGTGAACCAACCTCGAAACCAGCCAGAAATCGAGGTGGATTACGATGCGGTCCATGTAAGTGAGGATGTTTCAGATACTGCCTGCACACCATCCCCCCACAACCGAGTTGCAGACCAAGTGCCACCTCCTCCTTATCCTCAAAACCCGGTGGACATTGCTACCCGCGTTGCGCAGGTTGTAGATCTTGATTCTCGCCTTTCTCAAAATGCATTTGCCGCAACCATACGTCGAACAAAGGATATGGAAAATTGCAATAACCTCCAACGTCAAGAGGATTTCAGGAGGAAAATATGAGGATGATGCAAGATTTGGAGCAACGCTTATTGGAGCGAAATCGGTCTATAAAGATCCTGTGAGGACATTAAAGGAGTTCAGAACCTGGTCAAAGAAGTATTTAGAACTCGAACAAATGGAGATAACAAATGTGCAGGGGGAAGAGAACGAAAGGATAAGTCCAAGAAGGAGAAGCCCAGCCCCGAGAGAAAAAGAACGAACCGGCAATAAAAAGAAGGATTCCCGCGAAAGAATCCTGGATGAAAGAGACCGGGTTGGGAGATATAAAAAATACACACCGTTGAATGCGCCACGCTCTCAAATAAGGAGGGAAGTGGCAATGACGGACATGAAGAAAGAAGATAGACCCCGACCCATATTTGACATAGGACGCTTGGACAAATCCAAATTCTGTGTCTTTCACAATGGACCGGAGCATACCATTGATCAATGTTGGGATCTCAGAGATGTTGTGGAAAAATTTGTCAGAGAAGGAAAGCTGCGTCAATATGTCATTAAGATGCAGGGATCAAAAATCAATAAGACAAAACCCGGCAGCATGAATAGAAGTAAGGGCGCAACACCTGAAAAAAAGAAGAAGATAAAAATCAAAAAGATGATTCCAATAATGACGAATTCCCAGACGCCGAGTTCGACTATAATGATTAGTGGGGACCTTGGAGGAGGGGGAGACACAGTAAGTGCCAGACGAAAATATCTTAGAGAAGTACTCTCGATCAGAGATTGTCTAAAATTTAAGGAGGATCCTAGTAAGCCAGATCCCCCTTTAATCTACTTCACAAGGGAGGATATGCAAGAGGTCCTACCAGGGCAAGTTGATGGTCTAGTTATCACTGGAACCCTGGTTAATTGCCGGGTTAAAAAGATCTTCATAGATGCAGGCTATGTAGCACGGATACGACACGTGACACGTGACACGTGACACGACACGACACTCCGACACGTCAATCCTAAAAAATTATGGATTTCGACACGTTGGGACACATTTTAATATTAAATAATATTTTTAATTTATATAGTGTATATTTCATTTAATATTTAATAATTTAACAAAAAAAATGAAACTGAATCAATAATACCCATCAATACGTTATAAAGATGAAAGCTTTAATCAAAAAAATAAGAACTGGGATGAGAGAGAGATATAATATCAGATAGAAAGATCAAATCATATTAGAGAGAGATCAGAGAGAAGAAGATACAACAAGAGCGTGATAGGAATTAATAACAATGATGCTGAGATGATCTCTTATCTACTTAAGGGAAAAAAAGACAAAAAGATAAAATTGATATGATCAGGTGGAAACTTTATTAATATATTTTAACTTTGAGTAAACACCCTTTTTGGTCCCCGACAATATCCACAAAATCCTCTTTAGTCCTGGCAATAAAAAAGGACCAAATTGGTCCCTAAAATTATGAAAAAAGGGCCACATTAGTCCTTATGTCAACTCCTCTGTCACTAACGTGGCCCTTTTTACATACTGTTAGGGACCAATTTGGTCCTTTTTTATTGCCAGGGACTAAAAAGGATTTCGTAGATATTGCCAGGGACCAAAAAGGGTGTTTACTCTTTAACTTTAAAAAAAAAAAAAAATTAAAAAAAATTACGAAAATGCCATTTGACCGTGTCGGACACGATCAAATTCGCGTGTCGAAATGGTCAACGTGTCGGAAAAAGTCAACCGCGTGTCCGACACCGTGTCGGAGCGTGTCTCCGTGTCGGAGTGTGTCAGACCCGACTCTTCCTGTTTTTACAAGTGTCCGTGCTTCCTTGGATGCAGGCATCAGTGCCGACATCATACTATGGGAGGCCTTCAAAAAGATGAACCTGGACATAGAAGATCTTAAACCTTGTAAGACAACCCTGATAGCTTTTAATGGAGAAAACACACCTCTGAAAGGCTACATAGATCTCAGGTTAACACTGGGAACTAAAGAAGCATTCAAGTCAGAACACGTAAGTTTCATCGTGGCCGATTTCCCCTCTCCCTATAATATTATACTTGGGAGGCCAAACCTACTTAAGTGGGACATGCTGGTTTCCGCGAAACATCAAAAGATAAAGATGATAAGAAACAAGAATGAAGTCATCACTATCCATGAGGATCAAAAAGAATCAAGAGAGTGCCACATTGAAGCCTTTAAAGGAAATGAAGTCGGACACTTGAGTCCACCTCGGATTCGTCGAAAGACAAAGCCGGTAAAAAGGAAGCCCCTCATCATTCAAATAAACCTGTTAACATGATTAAATTGGATATGAGGGAAGAAGAGATCCCCAGACCAGAGCCAGATGGAGAGTTGGAAGACCTTATGTTGGGGGAAGAAACAGTCATTTTACCAAAATTGGTAAGACCATTAATCCTAGTGTCAAGGAAGAATTAAGTCAATTCCTTAAAAGCAACACAGACGTCTTCGCATGGAAGTCATCCGAGATTCCAGGCATTGACCGAAAATCTTGCTGCCACAAGTTGGCAATTTATCCCGGATTAACACCAGTAGCACAAAAGAAAAGAAAGCTGGGACCAAAAAGGAAACAAGTCTTAGAAGAACATGTCAAAGATTACTTGATGTCGGGTTCATACGCGAAGTCGAATATACGACCTGGCCTGCCAACGTTGTTATGGTCAAAAAGCCTAATGGAAAATGGAGGGTCTGCACAGATTACACAGACCTAAACAAGGTATGTCCAAAGGACTCTTACCCTATGCCCAACATAGACCAGTTAGTAAACAACTCGGCTGGATTCCAGTTGCTATCTTTCATGGATGGTTATTCCGGTTACAATCACATCCCAATGTACCTGGAAGATCAAGAAAAAATAGCCTTTATTACTGAAAGGGCAAATTATTGCTATAATGTGATGCCCTTTGGGCTCAAAAACTCTGGGGCTACATACCAGAGGATGATGAATAAAGTGTTCGAGGATTAGCTCGGCAAAAACATGAAAGTATATATCGACGACATGATTGTTAAGTCGTTTGATATGACAAATCACGTCCAAGATCTAGAACAATCATTTCAGAAGCTCAGGGATTACTGCATTCG